GTATATATATATATATATATATCAGGAAACGAATCAGTACTTTTTGTATGTGATTGCAAAACATACCAGAAAGGCGTGTGGTAGTATCTCTGACAAAGAATGGCTTGGGCAAGATTCAAAGTAGATCAGTACGAACTTAGCTTGAGAAACCAGTCTGACTTTGATACAAGAAGGAATTGTAGAGTCCATTTAATTCATACATTTAGATTGTCGGCACTGGTCTTTACTACGACCGGCGTTGAGTTCCCTGTATCGGTTTTCATTGTCTCTACTTATCTCTGAACATCACCTGGTAAATAGGATGCATCATGAAGGTACCAGATACTTCATATAATAAACATCATCAGGAGGGATATAAATGAGGATCTTGAGAGATACTTCTATACAGATAAAATATTTTATATATTTGTCTTTAATATTATTATTTTTTAACGACCCCACTCAATACATATTTATAAATAATACATTTGTATTCATAGCCTTCAATAAGACACGGCAAGGGCGCTTCGGAGACCAAAAGCGTTTCTTTAAAGAGGGTAACTAAGAACTCGTGCGTTCTCCCTTACTTTCACTCAACACACTCACACAAATACGCACTGTTGTTCAGTCACACACGGTACGGACCCACAAAAGTAAGTGTTTTTTGAAACAAAATTACATTTTGGATCCCTCGGGGGCCTCTTTGAGGCCTACAAATGGGGAAAAAGCGTTCCGGACAGATTTCAAGTTCAATAAAAGAAATAGGGACTCTACAGCTATTTACGCTTTCGGTGATAAAATATCTTCTCTTGTAAAAAAAAATACGGCTATGATTTGGTGCGACAGAATTAGTTCAGGCCTAAAAGGGCTCAGGGGGCGCGTTTAAATAGTGTCCCCCTCCTTCTTTCTTCTTACCCTGAATATTTTTTCAACAAAAATAAATTTTTGAAAAAATAGTATGGAACACACCAGAACCGGGGTACTCAGAGACCCCATGTTACACTACAAGGCTTCACAAATATTGGCTCAAATCGGGATTTCTCGACGAAAAAAGTGAGCCGGATACATTTTCAGAATGTAGCACCATTATTTCGGAAACTGACTTTCAGATTTTGCCATATTTACAAAGTGTCACAGTACTCTGAGAGTCTCAAACTCATCGGATTTGAACTCCCCATGGCCAGATTCTTCTGACGGCCACTTTCTTCTTCATTCAGGCTGATATAGGACCTCAGACCTGACCTTGCATCACTCAAATATGCCAAAATGTTTTTATTGCATTTTTGGACAGTTCACAGAATTTCAAGTGCACTGTTAAAATATTGGAACTTTTTGGCTGTTCGATCAAACATTTAAAAACTGGGTGGTGTGCCTCGGTTCTTGGCTGTGTGCACCAAAATGGACTTGAACCCCTTAGTCTTTTGTTGTTTCCTTGAGAAAAAAATATAGAATTTGTTTTATTTAGAAGGCTATGAATATGTAATTATGAAATATTCCGTAATAGGGGAATGAGGTGTTAAAAGCGTCAGTCTCCAGTTAGGACTCTGTTTAATAACATTACAGTCCAAGCCCGAAGTCTTTCAAGCCCGATTTTTAAAGGTATTAATGAAAGATAATGCCGAAGTATATACACATATATATTGCGACTATTAAATAAGTCAGGTGTATCCAACGCACACGAGCGCACTCATGACACTCGTGCGAAAGGAGGACAGAAGTCTGGAAACACTACAGACTTAGAAACCACGCAAGTGGATTCTCAACACCGCCTCCGAAAAATGTCGGGCCAGGCTGAATCCCCAACTAAAGCGCTCGTCCCCAACGACTCCTTGCACAATGACCAATGGAAATTGGATTTACAAAAATCTATCACAGACCTCTCTGCCCAGGTCAATACTCTACAGGCTAATCTCAACCAAATGTCGGGACCGGCCCTACCAACCCTGGACAATAATGGGCACATCTCTAAAGAGCCTCTGGCTGACGACCAATAGGAATTAACCATGCCCCAAATACTCACTGAACTCTGTGCCAAAGTGAACAACCTCGAATCCGAACTCCGAGACCTTACTTCCCAAACCTGTGCACCTCTAAATGAAGGCACACCCAACACCTTCCCGTTTAGCTCCACAAGCCCGCCAGCCCCGCCAGCAAAAAGACCGAGGCCACAGGCGCTCTTTAGCAGCAGTGAGCCTCCCAGCTACCGCTCAAAAGTGGGCAACCCCACAAAACCGACTCCCCAAAAAACCCCGATCCCACCGACCTCTCAGCCCCTACTGCAGCCGCCAGTACCCGCACACCTTTTGACGAAAGTGATGGACCGCCCGATGCCGGACAAAACTCTCCACGAAATGGATGACATCACTCCGGTATGGCTCTGCTATCGGGCAATTTTTTCCCAACGGCAAGCCCCCATCCCAATCAGTATTTGAAAAATACTGGCACACCCAACCGCACCTCAATCGCCACCACTTTCTTTGGTATCTCCCCTCCAAACCGGTTTCTGAACTAAATCGCCGCGGGACCTCCTCCAGTTTCGTCCGCCTTTGTGTTCCCAATGACGCTGTCGCCCAGGTGAAACGACATGCAGAACTAACGTGGAAGTGGCAATTTGATAAAACCATAGACCCCCGCTCCCAACAAAATCCTGACGCTACGAAACCAGCCTTAATCCACTATCTCCGCACCAAGCGGAAGGCCCGCTGCACACATGAACGAGCACCAAAATGTATTGCCCGTAGCATGGATGCTTTACTAGACCCTCTTGTTAATTCCACCAACGCAGACATTCTACAATGTACCACGGACCGGCTCCAGAACGCGTATCCAGCAAAACATACTACAAACCGATTGTCACCTAACCCACGAATCGTGCGCAGCCCGGACGGTCTTATCCGCACAGACTCAACCTTCCACCACAGACTCTTCGACGACAGAAAACGATATAGAAATGATTGACATCAACAAGGACCAGGGCCCAGTAGTATTGACCGAGGATGAACAATGTTAGGACCAATAAGGATGACCCTCTTCAACCCACAAGGACTCAACATGGACAATGCAGCACCATACAGATAAACCCTAATCGATTTTGAGTCAGGTTGATGTTATGTGTGTGGTTGAAACCTGGCATAACACCACATTCCTTAATCATATACGCTCGAACACACACTATCATATTCTACAACACACAACACGGCACAACATCTTACACCCTTCACACTGTGGTATTGGCATCTTTAAAACCCTAAACCCTAATACATGGATCCTCCCGAGATTGGCAATTTCCAACCAGACGTCGTTTGGGGCGACTTTAACTTTACAACACGTAAGTATGGCCACGCATCCACAATTCACGGACTCCGTATGAACACAATTCGAAACTGCCCTACATAACACGTGGCACCTGGACTATCTCTATGCTGGCGGCTCAATTGGTACAGAACATGCGTATCACCGGCCCACGACTTTCGCCTCCCTCCAGATCTATAAGCTGACCGACGATCCATCGGCTCCAACAAATGCCAACAATGCCGCCGCCTCCGGATCAACGCCTTCCCTCTCATGGATATAACCGATATCGCCATCGACTTTATCACTTACGCATCAAATCCCGCGCACGACTATTCTAAGCCAAAATCTGGGTACATCAGAACCTACTACGATCGTATCTCACCTTGCATGGTCCAGAAAAGGCTTGCTACGGATTCTCGACCGCATCTGGCGCTCTGCCGCTAACCCACAAATCTTTTGAGGATTCTGCTACGACATAAATAGACCTTGGGTACAACGGCTGCCAAACCACTCGTTCCGCCCACGTCTGACCGCCCAAAGCAATACCCAAATGTTCCAACATATTGCGTACCAACGACGATCTCCACGCCAACCTTGTATACCGGGTGCCGACGACACAGGCGCCACTCTCACTGGCTACTTTGAGGACCTATTCAACTCCACGAATCCGTACGTTGTTCCACCGGATACCGAACCCTCGCCTGATGTAACTCCCGTCATACGCCCCGATGATATAATGGAGGCTATACTACGCTATCCTAATAAGAGACCTGGCCCTGACGGAATCTACATCCTCCTTCTGCAGGCCGCAGTGGAGCCTTTCACCAAACACAGGACACTAGGACGCCCGGACGCCAATAGCCCACTGATTAGACTCCTTGACAAACCATTCACTGAGCTACTAAAGGCGGGTACCTTCCCTACCGCCCTGAACTGCACCCTCCTGACAGCGCACCCAAAAAGGACGATGTAGATATCACCTCCCCCGCCGACTTCCACCCTATCACGCTAACGCAAATAGTTAGACGCATATTTGAGAAGTGTTTTCTCAAGCTGATTACTAGCCACCCCGGTCTGCTACCCACGCAATCCAAGCTGGCTTCAAATCACGATACTCCTGCTATACCCAAGCACTCGCCGCCATGGAATCTGAGACACAGTCGGAAGTCTATCTGGATATTACCAAGGCATACGACAAGGTGTAGAAATACGGCCTCCAGTCAGTCTAAAATATCAAGATCAATTGAGATAATACACTGGTTTATATTTGTATTTTAAATAATTTAATACAAGCTCTTTTTCCAATATTTCCAAAGTGTTCTAAATTCACTTTGATGGCTCCAATAGCCTGAGTATTTGGTATGACTCATCTACTTGGACCTATTGGAGACATTAGTAGATGTAGGATATTATAAACTAAATTTTATAATCTCCGAACTACAACTTATAGATTTTGGTCCTCCCGCCAATCTCCAAAATCCAATAAGTCTTTTTCTTTTTATAACTTTTCTTCAGATGGAACTTTATTTATATCAGCTAATGTATTAACGTGACTTACGTTATTATGTCTATCTACAAATTAGGCATGTGGTCATGAACACTTAGTACTTCTAGTGAAAATTATTCAATAAAGAATAGCTAGAGGTACGCCCTGTGTGATCGAGGATATTTAGGCTCTTAACAAGAGGCAGTCCCGATCATTCTTACACAAGCTACCACTGCTAAATCCTAACTGACTAAATTGTATTTTAGTTTAATATAGTTTGAAACCTAGTAATTTCCATCGAAGTTTACACGCTTAACATACAACAGATTTAAGCTTAACCCCGCCAAGTGCCACTTCGCTATTCCCAAAGTGATGATCCTAGGGAAGAAAGTGTCGGCACAAGGTATCGATATTGACCATGAGAAGCAGGCCAAGCTTATCGATTGCTGAAGCGCTCTTGAAGGAGCTAGCGGCAGCAGCAGTTGTGGACCCCTCTATCGTGTCCCACGTGGCTGATATTCTTCCCATACCGAAGAAGAAGAAAAATCCAGGCCGAATTTCGAACCCGAGACCTACTGGTTTAACAGCCAGTACGTCTACCACTAAGCCAGTCACCACTGGTGAGAGGGGTAATATTTCAACATTTAATCTCTATAGCTCTGATG